TTAGAATGAAAACGGGGGTGCTGTAGACGAGCAATAAGAACAGAACGTAAAAAGGGGAGCTAATTTTCAAACAAAGTTGAGTCATGTCATAGTACTACTTATTTCAAAATAAAAGGCGGTTGAGTATTTCTTGAATAGCTTTCGGTAGAAATAAGAAAGAGAGCTGCGATTTTCACCCTCGGAAAGAGACCTTTTCAGCACATCGACCTATATAAAATTGTTAAGGTTTGTCTCAATTGTAGGCGGTGATCCATGGCTATCTTTGAAGAGTACATTAGAGCTCTATGAAGATACAACGAACTTTCAATTTTGATAAGTGAGCAAGAACCGTCAGCTCAAGCACTACAAATCTACGAAAGGCCGAAGCTTTTATTTCATTTCTCTCAAAAGTTATTAGTCAATCACTAATGCTATTTGATCGGTTTTTATACCAATCTGAACCTGCGTCAAATATTTTTCAAACTGTTATTAATGATGTTTTGCTCATGCTCAATCATTAGGAGCATATATTTCGCTACAGAGCGACTCTTTTTATATTAAAACATCATAAATAGCTGTTTTCAATACTTTTTGACATGCTATCACACTGTTAACTTCGAATATATGCATCATAGTTCATAATTTTTTGTGATTATAAGCGACATAAGCAAAATTCTACATAAATTCAATCATATTTTTCCTTTCAGATTGGATTTTCTTTTCTGCACCTCGAATTATAACATATATATATATAGTAATCGATACTTACTCTTATTGTCAATATCTGCTATTAACCATTGTAGTACCGGTTTTTTTTAAGCACTATGCTGACAGTATATGTTTTCATAAAATAATTTTTTTACTTTCGGACCAGCCTCCTGATGAAATATGCTCATTTCATATTCAACCTGATAGAAAAATTATTGAAATGATATTCTTTATTCAGAACAAGTTCTACAAAAAATACATTTAACAGAATACGCATTATCAACGAACGTATAATAGTTACAACATTGTCTTGATGTTTTCTTGTTCGTAGAACGTTCACAAATTGAACATCGTTTACCTATGCACACAAAATGATGACAAAGTCTGTTGAAATAATAGGGATCGAAGGTATACAAACCAACCATGAAATACTCTGTATACTATGTCTTCTATGTCATATATGCCTTCTACTATATATCTGTAAATATGGTTAAATCATTAGGAAAATTATGATTATTACCAGAACTATGATCTAGGTGGATAGCAAAATCAGTTATCATTGTAATTATCTATAATTAGTAGCAATCTTATGCTTTCCAAATTGAGCCGGTTTTGCTAGGACACCCATCATTATTTATTTATTGTTTGGAAAAATTTTTTAAGACAAAGAAAACCAAAAGAAAAAAGAATAATAATGTTCTTCGTTTCATTATTGTTTATTGACCACACTTGCATATTTCTGGAACACATTCGCACTGGTTACAGCAGCATGCGGGTGTGTTACAGGCGCCGCCTTCTGAAAAGAGAAAATATCACAGAATAGTATGACAACATCGATCGATCAATAGACTTACTATTTGTAATACAAGCACATGATGAATTGCAGACACATCTACCTGCCTGTTCGCATTCGGCATTGCATGAACATTTTCCGGTAGCTAAAAAAGAGGAAAAGTAACAGTAGAAGGCAATGAATAGGCAAGAAAGAGTCAAATTCACTTCGGCAATTGCACGGCATTGTTTAAATGAAAGCAGTTGATAGTAAATAGAAGGGTGATATATGAAGAGCGATGTATAAAAATCAAAGAGAACAGGATGGTATATATAGAGGAAAAGAGAAAAAAGGGGGTGCTGTATATGAATAAACGAGATAAACGGAATTCGGGGGTTCTGCTCAC